TTAAATTTTTGCTTTATGCAGAAATTTTTAAATGTTTCAAAAATTGCTTTTATTTCCCATTCCAAAAATTGTGATTTCTTTTCTTTCCATTCTTATTTTAGGTAGTGCTTCATTCTCTGGTCCCAAGTTAACACCGTTTCATCTCTATTTCAACATTTTGATATCCTTATGTTTAGCCATCTGAATTACTGTCCTGAGTTGGGTTAAAACCTTTGCTTCCTAGTTAAACCACCTAAATGTTTTCAAATTCAATCTCCCCCCACTCCTCAACCCTGCCAAAAGCACTTCAAAATAATGCTAGATTATCTTTCTTTGCCAAGAACCAAATGCATTATCATGTACCTGCTTATGACTTCCTACATTAAAATAGGATACAACTGAAGTATGTTTATTAGGATATATGGGCAACTTTCTTAGCAATAAAAAAAATGCATTATTACAACAGTGTTATTTTTCCCAATATACTAATGAAAATGTTCTTGAGTCTGGAAACCAAATATAGTCAAAACTGGAAAAGGGTCTCAAGCTACCAATTATACTTATTTGAAAAGTAAACACACAAATTAGACTTGAATGGGAATTTGGCTTTATGCAGAAATGTAGCCCCATATCATAAACAAAATCTAATATAATTTTACTTTTAACAATACAGACATTAAAATTGTTGTTTTCAACAGAGACACTTTTCAAACAGCTATGTACACTGGTTAAGTATATTATGAATTATTTATTTCAGGATGTGAAAATAAAATCATTTAAAGTGTGGGTGTGAACTATAACATCAAAACAATACTGTAAAAGAATGTTTTGAGGATACAGTTTTCCATGTGGAACTATAGGACACTAGATAAGAAGGAAACAGAATAGTAGGAAAGAAAAAATTCAGTTATGGGTGGTAAGATGTAGATGTTGCCCCATAATTATAAAAATCTGATGGTTGTTAAATGCATTTTATGAGAATTTGGAGTAACAGATTATCTAAAAAATTAAATTCATCATTACTCAGAATATCTCTTAACCTTTTTTCTCCAAATGCAAACTGCCATGCACCATTTGTGCCTTTTTTCTGAAAGACAATCTACCTATATACTCAACATCGTCCATATTTCTCTAACATTTATCTTTTTTAAAAAAAGATTTTATTTATTTATTTGAGAGAGATCGCACAAGCAGGGGGGTGGGAGTGGGGCAAAGAGAGAATAAGACTCCCCACTGAGCAGGAAGCCTGATGTGGGGCTGAACCAAAGTCAGATGCTCAACAGACTGAGCCACCCAGGAGTCCATCCAAAATTTATCTTAACTAACTATAATATCTATACACTATACTAATATCTATACACTATTTCTTCTTCCATCTACCTAATTTACGTCTTTAAAGATAAATGACATCAGGGGTACCCCCCTTTTGTAGCATCCAATATTTGTACATGAATTAATGTTTTGCATAAAACTGACATGTAAAGATCTCAAAAGATCTATTCAAATCAGCAGACTAATGTACCCAACCCTCCCCAAATAAATGTAGTTTTTTTTATTTGAATGCAATTAGCCAACATATGTAGTTTAAGGCCTATAGTACAGATGTTCTTCATCCTGACAGGATTATCTATGAAGCTGTTTAAATCCTATACTTGTTTATTTTTAAAGTAGCAATTTTCATTTTTTAGCAATTTTCATAATATTGTATCTATTAAGATATAAAGTCTTCAGCAATCCATTATTAACAGAAAGTAAATTATCTACAGAAATAGAAAAAATACACATAGAAACAGAAAGTAAATTAAATGGTAACCTGAAGTTGGGAGTGGAAACAGGGAATGTATGTAAATAAGCATGAAGGATCTTACTTTGGTAATGCAGCATCCTAAAAGTACCTGACAATGGTTGCAAAAGTCAGTGTATTTATGAAAAATTTAGGTGCATTTTATGGTATATAAACTATAAATCAAAAGAGCTTTTTTAAAATGTAAAATGTCAACAAGACTTTCACATAATGTACAAAGTTTGTAACATTACTTTTTATATCATCCTTAGTGAAAAAAAATAAAAACAAAAACAAAAATGCTAACCGTTCAACAAGACACTATTACTGGAGTACACACCCTCTACCATCAACAATGGAGACGTACTACCAGACACTGCACCGCAAGACTGTGATTATTAGAACAAAAGGAAAAAACAGTAGGGCTAGATTTCAAGAGTTCATTTAAGGGAAAAAAAATGTAATCACTGAAAAGTTTCTTACATAAGGATGTAATGGAACCCAGCATCAAATGTGCATTTAAGGTGAATTTATAGTCAGTCACCTTTCCAATAAAACTTTAAAATTCAGAAACAAAATTTTACCTTCAGATACCAAAAAGATTCAAGTACAGATTTCCCTATCAGCTTCAGTTTAAATATTCTGTCCCAACTGGCATTTCAGTGAACACATAACTATCAGGCTTAATTCATAGTTTAACTTAACCAACAAATTCAAACATTTCCTTTGCATAGTCGAAGAGTAAAAAGGAAAGGCCAGTCGCAGTCCTGTTTCTGTCCATCACCTAACCTGCTGAGTTTATAAACCCCTTCCACATCTACTAGATGTTAACCAGTTATCAAGTATAAAAATGTACCTGGAGATGTGAGTCATAAACTAAAGAACTGGAGACCTAAAGAACTGGGAACACAGATGTGTAATATAATATAAAATATTCTATATAAATAAGAGATATACATTTTACTCACAACTCAGAATAGGGGTTGAATGAAGTGGTTAAGAAAAGACTCTCCTTAACGAATAGGACCTAAGATTTAGAAAGTTATCTCTTATTCCTAAATTTAGTATACCATAATCATAAACACTTATAAGGGAAAGGATGTTTCACTTTGGAGACTGATCAAATTTATCTCCATAGCAAATGACAGCAATATGCCTCATGAAGAACAGCGTAAGAACAGCAACATCACCTTGCACTGATGAATTAACAGTTATGATAAGTCTCCTTACATCAAAAAGCATAAGCAAATAAATGGCCCCCTGAGATTCCTCACAGAAGAAGTTCTTAAACTTTTGGAAAGTCTGGACTTTCAAATGATTAAACTTTATACAAATTTAAGTGAAAAGATAAGATGGTCAAACTTGTCCAAGATACATACAACAAATGAGAAATCATATAATAATGGTAATGCATTAATGCTCACTCAAATCTGGTAAAATATCACACCCTTCACAGAAAATGTGTAGAATTTAACAAGTAAAAGGAGAAAACACAATAGATGGAAAAAAGTATTCATCCACAAAGCAATGCCAATTAAAACCACACACACACACACACACACACACACACACACAAAGAAAACAATTTTCCATTTTTGGAACTGTTTATTTATCAAAGAAAAAGACACACAAAGATGGTACTGAGAAACTAGCACTAGTAGTAATTATTCTTGATGGCAAACAACGCTTATGATGCTGTCAGAAAGCAATATAACAAAACATTTAAGAGTCGTACTAATGTGTATACCCTACAGTCCACAATTGGATACTTATCCTAATAAATTCAAGATACCAAATATATCTTTAAAATATAGAATATTTATAAAAGCATAGCAAACAAGTACAAGGAAAAGTAAATCATGAATGAACTATCATTTATTCATTAGAAATGATAATTATGACTATAATAAAATGAGGAAACAGTGATATACATGTAAGTGAAATAAATACAAAATAAATTCATTTAAAAGCATGATTCCAACTAAAAAAAAGCAAATGGGGAAAATGAAAGAAAATTCAACCTTAGGCTGTGCCTGAAACATGGGTTTTAAAATCTTTGGTTTACCTCCCCATTTTTCTTGTCTATCACTTGGAAGCTTTAGATTTTTATTGTAAAAAAGAAAACATACCAATTGTTAAAATGTATTTAAAAACTACCCATCTACATTTATTCTTTAGACATGATTCTTAGACTTGAGCCTTAACCCAGAAATTTATCTGGTTCCCTACCCTGTAATGTTCACTTTCATATAACTTCCTTTATAACCCCTTTCTCTCCACCACCTTCTATAGTATCACCAGTCCCCCACTGTCCCAACTTGGTGTTTTCATCTTTAAATGTGATTCTCTAAGAAAGATGCCAGAGAACTTTCTTTCAAGGAAGAAGATAGTATTTCAAGCTTTACCTGCCATTCAATCTGTCACAACTACTCCAATCTGCTGCTGTAGTGACAAATACAGCAACACACCATACACAAATGAAAGGACATGGCTGTGTGCCAATAAAATGTCCTTTAGGAAAACAGTGAGTGGGTCAGATACTATTACTAAAATAATCCCAGTAACAAGTGCTGTTTAACTAGCACTTGAAACTAAAATGAAACAGAGTATCAGAAAACCAGATGATCCTATATGAAGATCATAATGTATGACTTAATTATTATATGGGTGCTTGGCTGGCTCAGTTGGTAGAGCATGTTGACTTTTGATCATAAGCCCCAGGTAAATAAATAAATAATTATACTTAGGAACTTACAAGAGTATATGAACAGCACTGAAGAGCCAAAAAACTCCTGGTTTTAAAAAAAAATCTGCTTTTCTCACTTAATCATTTAAAAATGGCCTTACTCTGGGGAACAGCTGGGGACAATGATCAGATTCCACTGTCTGAAATCAATGCCACTGCCCTGCAATCGGCTCCAGGTAATTACTGGAGAATGCTGAGTAAAGGATGCAGCAGGGGAGAATTCTCAGAAAATCTGTTTTACATCTTTTAATTTAAAACTCAAAATAGTGGCTATAAACAGGCCTAATTAATGTGAGTTGAGAGGTAATACACCAAAACAGAAATAAAGAAAATCTAGAACAAAACTCATCAATAGGCTCCTGTCTCCTAGTTTGTAAAAAGTATATTAAACCCTTTGGATTACAGGCATTCAAATATTAAAATTTTAAAAAGGTCACATAAAACATAAAAAGACAGACTGTAAATAAATCTATATCACATTGAAAAAAATCATGGATAATATTTTTATTACACTGTCAGCTGAATCAAATACATTGATACATTTTCAGCTGATTCAAATACGTTGTTGAAAACAAAAAAGTGAAAAAAGACAAAACAAAAAAAGGAATAATTAGTAAATATGCATGGAAAATTATTTAGCTTATCTGATTATGATGTGATGTGTATTTATAATTCAGTAGGCACAAATGATATGTAATTAAAACAACCAATGCAGGTGAAAGTGTATCGTAACTGGCATTCCATTTTTTTCCATTATTTATTCAGGGTAACAGAGACTAATACTTTGAAATACAATTTAGAAAATGTACCTAAGCTAATACTTCTGATTCAGTTTATTTTCACATCTGCATAGCTGAGTAAATGATCCTATCTAATATGTTATGCTTAGCAGTTCACTGAAGCTTTATTGAAACTACCAGGAAAAAGATGAAGTTTCTCACAAAAGGTAATTACAAAACATTCATTAGCAGGATATTCAGCATCCATTTATAATGCAGTATGTTTATATAATATTAACTGGAAAACCAATAGAAATTAGATACAAATAAACTACCTAAAAAGCATGCACTAGAATGACTGGGAAATTAAGTGTTGGGTTAAGAAGACCAAGGTCCTACTGCTTGCTTTTACTTCTTTAATCTTTCTGCAATGTGATTATATGGATTTTTTTATTCAAATTCAATTATGAAATTTTTAATAAAAAATGTATTTTAACACATCCCAAGTAATTAAGTGACCTCCAAACACATTATTTGTTTATTCCTAACCATGACTCAATCAGTTCTAACCTGTTTTTTCACTTGGAAATCAGCTACCTGGATGTTCCAATACTGCTTTAACCACCTCTTGGTGTCTCAGCTAAGAATGCCTGTCTCAGTTCCGCCTGGAAATCCACCACAGGTATTTGCTGCTGCTGAGATCGCCTTGGGTACAGCTGACACCTATGACAAGAGCACAATATATAAAATGAATATAAACGAAAAGAGATTTTCCTATATGGGTAACAACATGAAAGAAAATATGTAGACCCTTACATTTAAGGAGAGACTCAATTAGGGTCAGAGCTTCCCATTACCTTGTGAAGAGACTATAAAGAAGAAATAGGAGTCTCTCTGTACATAGAATGTGCAAGGAACAGAAAGATACTACTTTAGAGATACTACCCAAGAAACTTTAAAATAAAAAAAAAAGTTCTTTTGTTTTAAAAAGCCCTGTGGAAAAACCATCAAACCATATACATTACTCACTTTCCAATCCTATCTGGAAACAATTCTTTAACCCTCAGCAACAACAAGAGGGAGGCATTTGCTAAGGCCATTTCCAGCAAGATATTAAGGCTGTTATCCATACTAAATACTCCAAGAAGTAAGCACCTGAAACAAGGAACTACCAGAGCCCAGAATTTTAGGCTCTCAAACTATATAAACTGACTACTTATTAGTTGCAAGGGAATTCCAGACAAAAGTCCTCAGTATATCCCTATGAATCAGTAATCTGGCTGTGAATCTGATTCTGTAAATTATGATGTAGAAGTGTTACTGGCTAACAAGACAAGCATTAAAAAAAAATCACCAGCAATTCAGCCCTTGTTAAGTGTGTGTACACTTACATGTGTGCATATATATGCATGTGTCTATTTATCAAACTACTCAATAGCAGATTTGGAAATGGGCCTGAAAAAAAGATATTCCACTATTTTTCTACAGTTTTAAAATGGCATTTTTAACATTCTGTTAAATAATAAAGAATTAGGTTGGAATTTCTCCATGGCTCATGGAAGGTAACCTCTAAATTCTCAAATTTACCAAGTGATAGAAGTATCTTCATTATTCTTGGTGGCGCCTTGGATCATACCTGAGTTAATGCTAATTAGATTATTCAGGACAGGGGCTGGCCAAGCCACAAAGACCAACTATGTGATTAGAGTGTGGGGCCCATGGGCAACCACATGGTCAATGATTCAGTCATGTTTAAATAATGAAACTCTAATAAAAACTCTAGAAGGCAGGGTGCCTGGGTGGCTCAGTTGTTAAAGCATCTGCCTTCAGCTGAGGTCATGATCCCGGGGTCCTGGGATCTAGCCATGTTGGGCTCCCAGCTCAGCAGGGAATCTGCTTCTCCCTCTGCCTCTCCCTACCCCCTGCTCATGCTCTCTCAAATAAATAAAATATTAAAAAAAAAACCTCTAGAAAGCACCCACAGTTCTGGTGAGCTTCCTGTTTGGCAATATACATACATTGATGAGCTGAGAGTATTACAACCTAAGGACATGAAGTTATGGCTCTTGTCCTATGAGTCTCTACATTTGGCTTATCCTGATCTGTATCCCCTAGAGTAAACTTAATAGTAAGTGTAGTGCTTTTCTTGAGTGCTGTGAAAATCATGGAATCTGAGGAAATAGTGGAAACCCTGAATCTCTATCCAGATGCTGAGAAGTGCAGGTGGACTAGAAACTCTGGGGCTTGCAGTTGGTATCTGTTTGGAGGGTAAACTTAGGAGGGACTGTACCCTTAACGAGTCAAAACTGCACTAACTCCATTAAGAGTCTTCATTACATTGCTCATGCTTTTTAAATTGTCCCATTTTTATTTGGGTATTCTTAGTTCCAATCCTTTATTACCAAATGGCAACTAAGAGTCTGACCTAATATGGTTCTGAAAGTGTTTCAGAGAAAACAAAAATATATTCCTTGGCCCTCTTAAACTCCTATCAGAGTGTTCCTCTTGGGTTTAACCTGAAATTCAGCTGCAGACTGAACTAAAACCAAGAAAATAAAATGCAGTACACGTAACATTCAGTTCATAAATGCAGAATATAATTTAGAAAGACATATAAAAGGGTGCATAAAATAGATTATCCAGAAGAGTCTCCAGCCCCAATCTCCAAATTCTCTCAAATTTACAATACATCAAGAAACAGGAAAGACATTCACCAGCCCCAAAAATCAAAAACTGATTTACTTGACAGATCTATCAGAAGATGGTATAATCATCAATTCCAAGAATAAAAACCAATGAGCTTCTATTAACAATTACTGTTGGTCTGTGAGAGGTTTCATCTGCATCGTTTTGGTTTTTATTCAATTTGGTTTTGTATCTTGGATGGAACATGAAGAGCAAATCTTTATTAGCATTAGAACCAGTACCACACAATTTCTCAGGAATACTGACTTTTAGCACTTATGGTTTGGGAAAATGTGGGATATTGATGGATTATTATCAAAATAAACAGACTGTTAACTATCCCAATCCTGAGAGAATTCTGAGCATGTATTATGCAAGGCTTAACGAGTATCAATACTGCTTACCCATTTTATAATCCACTTACTCTCAAAATGGAGATAAATGACTGGAGAAATTACACTATTTCCCTAACTCAAAACTCCCCTGCCCATTTAGCACCCTGTAGTATTTATATGTAATATAAACAGCAGAGGTCAGGAATGAACTTATTTCTTCTTTGAAAGCAACAAAATGTTTCCACAGATTTGAACAAGAAAATGACACCTAAAGAGGTCTTAAAGAAAATGAGATTACCTGTTATGCTGGTTCACAATGGTCCTGCATAAGATAAGAGCTATAACAAAATTTAACTATGACAGAACCATTACCCACTAACAAAATATCCTCCCCTCAAGAGAATCCCCCATACCTCAACCACAATCTCTAAACAAACTCAAGATACTTCCAGAGATTCTGGGTAAAAATACCACTTTTAAAAGCTTTTAAGTTACAAAAGACATTACCATACAAGAGAAAATTAATATGGCAAAAAGTTTATTATAAATGATGAATTATAGGGCAACTGGGTGGCTCAGTTAGTTAAGTGGCCAAACTCCTGATTTTGGTTCAGGTCATCATCTCAGGGTTGTGGGGTTGAGCTCTGCTAGAGCTCCATGCTCAGCAGGGAGTCTGCTTGAGATTCTCTCTTGCTCTTCCCTTCTCCCCCCCTCACTTACACATGGCAGGCATTCTCTGCCTCTCTCAAATAAATAAATCTTTTTTAAAAAAGAACAAATTACATAGAATATCCATTCGCAAAATACTTCCTTTAAAGAAATTCCCAAAATAAAAATGTAATAAAATAGTGAGCTCAGAAGAATAAATAAACAGGGAAAATGGGGAAATTGTTGGCCTCACCAGTAATTTGAAATGTGCAAATGAATATATTGCAACTTTACCACATAAAATGAGCAAATAACAAAAATAGAAGACAAAATTCTACCCCCACTTTATAACATCTTTGTTTTTTTATTTTAAAGACTTCATTTATTTGACAAAGAGAGATCACAAGTAGGCAGAAACAAGCAGAGAGAGAGGGGAAGCAGGCTCCCTGATGAGCAGAGAGCCAGATGCACAGTTGGATCCCAGGACCCTGAGATCATGACCTGAGCCAAAGGCAGATGCTTAACCAACTGAGCCACCCAGGCTCCACTATAACAGTTTTTTAAGAAAGTTTTATATTTGAGGAACTGAAATAAAATGTAAATAATTAATATAGATAAAGAATATTAACTTTCAAATTGCCCTTATCTTTGTTGATGATAGCAAAGAAATGCAAATCTATCAGTAAGCTACTGATAAATGAAATTGTTATTAAACCACCCATATTCTACAATCTGTAAAATAAATGAGGTATTTATATGCATTGAAATAGAAAGATCCCCAAAGACATACTGTTGCAGAACAATAAATCTCGCATATGTAGAGATCACAAGTTGGGGCGCCTGGGTGGCTCAGTTTTAAGCCTTGATCCCCAGGTCCTGGGAGGGTCCTGGGATCAAGCCCTGCATTGGGCTCCTTGCTCCACGAGCCCCACGGGAAGCCTGCTTCTCCCTCTCCCACTCCCCCTGCTTGTGTTCCCTCTTCGCTGTGTCTCTCTCTGTCAAATAAATAAAAATCTTTTAAAAATATAAAAATAAAAAAAAGAGATCACAAGTATGCCTCTCCTTCTCCCTGCTTCCATGTGTGCATACACATGAATGAACAGGAAAAGGTCTGACAATATAGACATCTACATACCTGTGGATTATCTCTAGGGAGGGAAGGGCAATGGTAAGTTGAAGTAGATACTTTCTATCTAAGTTAAGTGTTTTATAAAGAAACGATATTCATGTATTTTTAATATTTGTAATTTTGGAAAATAACCAAATAAAACAGCTTTGGGAAAGGGAAAAAATGCTACCCACTGATTCTGTCAAGATTTGTGATAATAACAAAATGCAAGATCTAATAAATACTGTGTATGTATCATGTCATTAAAAATGTTAGTATATTTTGTATTAAAATCACCCTTCTGGAAACCTAAATTTAAAAGTGCGTGGGGGTGCCTGGGTGGCTCAGTTGGTTAGGTGTCTGACTCTTGATTTTGGCTTTGATCAGGATCTGGGGTCCTGGGATGGAGCCCTGCATCAGGCTCCATGCTTGGTGGGGAATCTGCTGGAGATTCTCCCTCTTTCTCCCCCTCTGCCCCTCCCCCAGCTTGATCTCACACTCTCTTTCCCTAAAAGGAATAATTAAATCTTTTAAAAAAATAAAAGTGTACCTCTGTGTAGATATCCTATGTAAAGAGAGGAACAAATGTATACATTTCAAGGTTTTTTTAAGATTTTATTTATTTATTTGAGAGAGAGAGCATGAGGGAGAGAGTAGAAGCAGGAACAGCAGAGGGAGAGGGAGAAGCAGGCTCCCTGCTAAGCAGGGAGCCTGATGCGGAGCTAGATCCTAGGACTCTGGGATCATGAACAGAGCGGAAGGCAGTCGCTTAACCAACTGAGCCACCCAGGTGCCCCACATTTCAAGTTTTTAATTGGATAAATGTACTAACCAAAAATAAAAATCTGAATAATGCAGTATATGTATGAATACATAAAGTAGCCTTCGGTCAATGAATAAAAAATTTTGCAAACATATAAGTGATTTAATAACATAAATAAAACAGAAATCTGTAAATATCAAATTTGAAGGATGTAGAATTTTATTGATAAAACTCACCTACACATTTGGGAAAAAATGCATTTTACTAAAATTTAACCTAAGTTAGTACTACCTGATTAAGGTTGACTCAACCATTTTGCCTTATCTTCTATATTATAAGCATAGGTTTCTTTCATTAATTAAATTCATTTCAGTACCCCTCATTGCATGATACTCTATTCAACTTTGAACAAGAATTCTAAACTAAATTGATTCTCAACCCAGACTATACTCACTCTTGGTTGCTCAGTGAGGCTGTCCTTCTACGTTTGACTTGGACTTCCACCTCTGGTACGTGCTGTTCCGTAGTCCGTCTCAGGTGTAAGCGGTCCCTGAAGCAGAAAGAGGAATTTATTTTGTAAGACTTCATCAACCTTAAAATAACCACTTATTTAAAGGTTGTATTTATTTTTAAATATTTTATTTATTTATTTGCGAGAGAGAGCAAGTGAGAGAGTATAAGCAGGGTGAAGGGCAGAGGGAGAAGCAGACTCCTCACTGAGCATGGAGCCCGATGTGGGATTTGATCCCTGGACTCCAGGACCATGACCTGAGCTGAAGCCTCGGCTTAAATGACTGAGCCACCAAGGCACCCCTAAAGGCTGTATTTAGAACTATATTTTATATAATGGAGTTTTTAAAGTGCTTATAATATAATTAAAACAAGGTACAGTAGTAATGTACGTCAATTGTTATCAATAAAAATGGTGGAAAAGTAACATGGCAAAATTTTAATGAAAATATCCTCTAATAGTCAGGATCTATCCTAAAACCACTTTCTCCCTTTAGAAGCCCTTTAACATCAGGGTCACTTGGGTGTCTCAGTCATTTGAGCGTCTGACTCTTAGTGTGGGCTCAGGTCATGATCTCAGGTTGGTGAGATGGAGCCCCATGTCGGGCTCTGTGCTCAGCAGGCAGTTGGCTTGAGTTTCTCTCCCTCCGCCCCCCCCCCCATAAACACCCTCTCTCTTTCTCTCCCTCCCTCTCTCTCAAATGAATTTGTAAAAAAAAAAAAAAGAAGAAGAAGAAGAAGAAAGAAGCCCCGTGGGGTGCCTGGATGCCTCAGTTGGTTGGGTGTCTGCCATCGGCTCAAGTCATGGGCTTGGGCCCCACATCAGGCTCCATGTTCAGCAGGGAACCTGCTTCTCCCTCTGCTGCTCCCCCTTCTTGTTCTCTCTCTCTCTGTGCCAAATAAATAAATAAAATCTTAAAAAAAGAAAAGGTCCCCTAACATCAGAAAACTGGGGGGGGGGGATATATCCAAGAATTAAGCAAAAAGAAAATATTTCCACTTATTTTTATATTATGCAGAAATAAAGCTATATATTTACAGAGACATACTTATATGCACTAACCTACTACCCATACCTACATACCCTCAAAAAATAGCAATGTTGATTCCAAAACTGGTTTGAAAACATTTTTAAAGATATTTTTAATTTATTTATTTGAGAGACAGAGCGAGGAGGAGCGGGGGGGTGGGCAGGGGAGGGAGGTAGGCAGAGGGAGAGAGAGAAGCAGATTCCGTCTGAGAAGGGAGTCTGACCAGGGACTTGATCCCAGGACCCTGAGATCATGACCTGAGTCAAAGGCAAAGGCTTAACTGACTGAGCCACCCACGTGTCCCTGGTTTGAAAATATTTTATTAGGACGGATCTTTTAGTATAATGGAAAAAAGCATAAAGTTTAAATTATAAAATTTCTACTTAAGCAACCTCCTGTGCAAATGTTGTTTTCCTAGGATTTGTAAAACAATAAATAAAAGGGATGCTTAAACAAAAAATAAATACATAAAACCAACATAGCTACCACCATCTTATGATCTCCAAAGCAGCTCAGAAAATGGCTGCTCAAGGGATCTGAGCATGTTATCTCCCACCTGGGTCATCCATGTTAGAAACTATAGGAACCACTCTTACAACTGCAATTTAACAATGCTAATCAGAGAGGATAGAGGAAAAGCATTTTACAAAAGTCATGCAATGTAATATTTCCCGGGCAGAATTCATTTTTTAAAATATTTTATTTATTTGACAGAGAGAGAGCAAGCACAAGTAGGCAGAGCGGTGGACAGAGGGAGAGGGAAAAGCAGGCTCCCCACTGAGCAGAGAGCCCAACATGGGGCTCGATCCCAGAACCTTGAGATCACAACCTGAGCTAAAGGCAGCCACTTCACTAACTTCACTTCACCAGGCTCCCCTCCCTCCAGGGCAAAATTCAAAGAAGCATCGCCAAAACTAATTCTTTGAACCCTTGCTATTTTCAAATTCATGTTAGATTATGCAAAATAACCCAAATAGTTTTTCAATAAACCCAAGTTGTTTTACTGCTTCAAAAACTTTAGTGTTTCAGTCAAGCATTAGAAATCATGGGCGCCTGGGTGGCTCAGATGGTTAGCATCTGCCTCCAGCTCAGGTCATGATCCCAGGGTCCCAGGATTGAGCCCCGCACTGGGCTCCTTGCTCAGAGGGAAGCCTGCTTCTCCCTCTCCTTCTACTGCTCCCCCTGCCTGTGCTCTCTCACTCTCTCTGTCAAATAAATAAATAAAATCTTTAAAAAAATCATTTAAAAATCACAAATGTACATATCAGATTTTTAAATGATAAAAGTATGTAATTTGCTAGTCTGCTTGACCTTTGATTAGGCAATGGTTTCTTAGATACCTGAAGTACCAGAGAAAGGAATCCATAAATTGGATTTCATCAAAAGTAAAATACGTATTTGCTTCAAAGGACACTATTAAGAAAGTGAAAATGTACCTGGACAAATGGGAGAAAATATTTGCAATTCACACAGCTCAAGAATGCTTACAACTCAATAATAAAATGAAAAAACTCCACTTAAAAATGGGTGAAAGATTGGAACAGATTGCTTTCCACAGACATAAAAATTTGTATCAGCACAAAAAAAGATATTTAATATCAGTATAGTTATTAGGGAAATGCAAATAAAAACCACAAACATACTACTTCATACCTCCGGAGTGGAGGAGGAGGTAGAGAAACTGGTAGTGGGAATGTGAAATGGTGTAGCCTCTGACACTTCCTAAAAATGTGAACCACGTAGTTTAGCATTTGACACTAATTCAACTCCTAGAGAGAGCAAAATATATGTGCTGCCAAAGTGAACACAAGAGGGAGTAAAAAAAAAACAAAATCATATAAACTTGAGTGTGAATTTTCCTAGCAGCTTTAATTGTAAGAGCCAAAAAGTGGAAACAACCCAAAGTACAACCACTAAAAGATGGATAAACCAAATATGGTGTAGTATGGTATATTCAATACAATGGACTGTCATTCAGTGCCAAAAGGGAATGAAGTATTTATTGATGAACTTCACAAATATATTTGTTAATATTATATTAAAATTATATAATAAAAAGAACTATCATAGACCTCTACGTCATAGACCATCAATTATGATTAATCTAATAGTATAACTGAAAATACCCCATTACCAAAAAATTTAAAAAAATAAAAATCTTCAGTTCCTTTATCCCTTCATAGCAGTTGCTCAGTATGAAAAAGTCTGAGTTCATGGAAGAAATGAAACAGTACACAAAATTATTCAATTTTCTAAATCCATTTTTAAAGCTACATGTATGGGGCATCTAGGTGGCTCAGTCGTTAAGCATCTGCCTTCGGCTCAGGTCATGATCCCAGGGTCCCGGGATCGAGCCCCACATTGGGCTCCCCGCTCTGTGGGAAGCCTTCTCCCTCTCCCACTCCCCATGCTTGTGCTCCCCCTCTCTCTGTGTCTCTGTCAAATAAACAAATAAAATCTTTAAAAAAAATTAAAGCTACATGTAAAATCATCAAGGAGCAGCACTGTTTTCACAATATAGGAAGTTTGTATACATACATGTGGGTGCATTTATAATCTTCCTACTGCATTCACAATCTAGAAACCAGCTTTTGGAAAATAAGCATTTAAAGGAAAAATAGAGAGGTGCCTGGCTGACTCATTCCATGAAGCATGCAACTCTTGATCTCAGGGTTGTGGGTTCAAGCCCCACATGGGTGTAGAGATTACTTAAAAATAAAATCTTAAATAAATCAGTAAACAATAAAGGAAAAAAATGGGGTTTGTTGGCTCAGTCAGTGGAGCATGTGACTCGATTTCAGGGTTGTGAGTTCAAGCCCCACATTGGGCATAGAACATACTTTAAAAAGTTAATCAAAAAAACATGGAAAATGTTGTATGTGCACAATGTTAATTTTTTGCTCCAAAATTACTTTCATTAAAAAAATAATACTAATTTGGAAATACAATGAGAAGCAACAAGTGATGAGATCACACAATGTTTTTCCAAATAGCCTAACATTTTGTCAAATATATAATATGCCTTACATCTGCCCCCCCAAAAAAACTAATAAAAATTCAACTACTAAGATCTCAAGAATGAAAAATAAAAAAAGAAAATGTGAGGTAATCTCAGTCTACAGATCTTCCCATAATCATGAGAAAAATCAGTGCCTCTAAACCAAAACCTGTGGAACCATCAAAAAGAAAATTCTAAGCCAGCCAGCATTCAGGAACTAGAAGGCAAAAGAAATGACTCCCTTACACAACCTTTGTTAGTGAGAGAGACAACCTTAACCATCAACAACTCTTAAGCTTTCTGGCTCTGGGCCACAAAAGTGGAAGGGGCAAGGGAGACCAGCAATAAAATCCTAATGTACACTAAGAAAGATAAAAAAATCTCATTGTCCCTGTCATGTTGAGTCAATACTCATACCCTGCTTAATTCAAGGATTCTTTCTAAATATAGCTAAGTAGCAGAGTACAATGTCAAAGTAAGATTAAACTCAAAATGGATTAAAGACCTGAATGTGAGACCTGAAACCATAAAACTCCCTAAAGAAAATATAAGCAGTAATTTATTAGATGTTGGCCTTAGCAAAATTTTCCTATAGAGGTCTCCTCTGGCAAGAGAAACAAAAACAATTAAACTATAGGGTCTACATGAAAATAAAAATCTTTTGCACAGCAATGGACAACATCAACAAAAAACAGGCAATCTACTGAATGGGAGAAGATATTTGCAAATGATATATCTGATAAGGGGTTAACGTAATGTAACGTATCTGATAATGTTATGTATCTGATAAGGGCTTAATATATAAATAACATAAAACCCAACACACACGTGCGCATACATGCCCACACACACACACAAATAAAAAAATCCCATTAAAAATGGGCAGAGGAACTGAATAGACAGTTTTTTCAAAGATATATAGAGGGTCAACAGATACATGAGATGCTCAACATCACTAATCATCAGGAAAATGCAAATCAATACCACAATGAGATATTACCTCATACCAGTCAAAATGGCTAGTATCAAAAAGACAAGAAATAACTCTTTGTAAGGATGTGGAAAAAAGAAACTCATGCACTCTTCGTAGGAATGTAAACTGGTTCAATCACTGTGGAAAACAGTATATAGGTTCCTCAAAAAATTAAAAATAGAAATAGCACATGATCCAGTAATTCCACTTCTGATTATTTACCCAAGGAAAACAAAAGCACTAATTCAAAAACATACATGCACTCCTCGGTTGACTGTAGCATTATGTATAATAGCCAAGATAGTAAAGCAACCATCTAAGTGTCTGTCAATAGATGAATGGATAAAGATGCAGTATATAAATACAGTATTACTCAGCTATAAAAATTTTTTTTGCCATTTTTGACAAGATGGATGGACCTAAAGGATATTATGCTAAGTGAAATAAGTCAGAGAAATTCAAGTACCTTATTATTTCACTTATATGTGGAATCAAAAAAAAAAGAACAAAAAAACAGAGACACCCAAAAGAACAGAGATGAAACTGGTGGTTACCAGAGGGGAGAATGGTGGGGAGGGGCAAAATAGGTGAAGGGGAGTGGGAGGTACAAGCTTCCAGATATGGACTGAGTAAGTCAGGGGAATGCAATAGGGAATATAGTCAATGGTATATATTTTAACAGCACTGTATGGTGACAGAGGGTAACAACACTTATGAACACTGCACAACATAGAGAGTTGTTGAATCACTACGTTGTGCACTTGGAACTAATGAAGCATTGTGTGTCAACAAAACTCCAATTAAAAAAAAAAAGTAACTTTGAGGCCTTGACATCTTAAATGTGGAATTTTTAAAAAAACAAATCTAACAACATTCAGAGGAAAGGGCAGGAATAAAGATGTAGCATCACCACATATGGGGAAAGTATTTCAGTAATGAAACATGTGACAGATGCACTGGGCAAACCAATATAATACAAAATAATCTGAATAAACCCAAACCAGACAGTACCTTGCCTTAGATAGCAATACAACAATCCCTGGACTGTTTCCTTGCCCTAAACCACAGAAAGGGTTCACACTGCCTCGTCATTTTCAAAAAGCCCTGATACTAAGCCAAATATTCAGTGGGCAAGGCAGAGACCTTGAAACCTCAGAGGTCTTCCCAAAAGGATCCACCATATTGAGATCCTGAGTCTGCGTGAAAAACTACAAAATGGCTGATCAGGATAATCCACGCTCATTTTGCAAATAGCCAAAACGATCAGAAGTTAAAGCAAATTATAATTATTTGAAACAGTATGTGTCTACAAGTAGGAAAAAATGAGCAAACCGTAAGTATCACAGATTCCAGCCTCCTGCTATTTCTAAAACTACTCAAAAAAATTCCACAACAAAGCTTTCCAAGTCTTCTAGGTTTATGTTTTCCTTAATTACATTGCAACTTAGCACAACCATATTGTTTGTGATAGAGGGAAAAAAAAAAGCAAGCCCATCAACATTCCGCAAAGAAAAACAAAGTCCTTGAAAATGGTCCCCTTCAAAAGTGGTATACAGAACACTGGAATAGTTACTTTCTTAATTATATATTCTCACCAAATTTCATAGTAGGTCCAACTTCAAAATGATGGGTCAAAAGCATCACTTTAAAAACCTGACTAGGGCAAGAATTCCCTAATCCAACGTATACTTACAGCCGTGTAGCATTCCACTTTTCTGATTCTTTGCTCTGTTCCTCTTCAGCAAAGAAAACTTACAGGTCTCAGCTCCTAAAAACCCTGGAGGAGCCCTGATCCCCGATTTAAGGAAACGGTATATAAAGGCCGCATCACAAAAAGAACATCCACAGATTAAGAAATATGACACTCTTAAAGGTGATGCAGTTGTGCAAGTATCGAATCTGTAAAGTGGAAATCAAATGTAATTAGGGGTTTTCTAAAGGGTTACTGAATCCCCTTTGAATATTAAGAGACTGCTCATAATACAACCTAGGGAATCTATAAAAATGAAAAGGTGGACCCCTATAAGTCAGAAAACATTTAAAATCAGCACCATTGATAGGGGCTGCCTTAAGTAATAGCACTGTGGATCATGGGATGACTTCGCCTTTCTTGCCCTGCCAGCAGGCCCCCATCTCTCCCTTCTCCGGCGCAACAGAAAAGTAGGGGCACAGCATGGCTGCCAGTCTAGGCAGGCATAGAATGTACAAATCCATTGCCCCATTGCCCCCTCCACTCCAACGTGGCCTTAGGGAAGGGGCGGCCCAAGGTACAAGCTCAGCAATTCCATGCCTTCCTTCCCTCCACGCACTGCAGCACAAGAAGGCAGGAGCAGCCGTTACAGCAGACAGGTGAAGGGGTAGCTGCCAGCCCCACCAAGCGGACGCTGTGCAAACCCCCTCCCCCGGTGCCCGCCCCATTGACGGGCGGAGACAGTGTCTTCCCAGTTGCGCCTGCGCACCCAAAATCCCGCATCCTTCCCCACTGCGGCAGTTTGGGGAAGGGGCAGCTTGCCCACGTTGCCAGCCTCCTCCCCTCAGCAGTGCGCTGTGAAGGTGCCGCCGCAATTGCTGCCTGGGAGAAGGTGCATAGACTACCCTTCCCCCACTGCGGCACTGGGGGAGGGGTAGGCTGCCCCCCACCCTGTCACGCCTGCGCAGATCCGCACATCTGCAGCGGCAGCCATCTTTGGCGAGCCGCACAATGGTCGTGACGCGGCAGCGGACCCCTGAAACCCTTATTCCGAAACAGGAAAAATCAGTGCAAATAAGACACGCCTCTGCAGTGTTACATCCCAGAACGTGGTACAACTCTCACAAGTTCATAAAGCAAACTCTGCACACCATATCCCTAATCTTACACCAAAACCACAAAAGCAAGGAATTATGAAGGAGTAAAATATCTAAAGCAAACATTTGTGCAGCTATCCCTTCGGGTGAGTAATGGATAGCAGGTTCGCCCTAATATAAACTCTTTAGACTGCCTCAGATTAGAGAACAATTGAACGGTCTCCCCTTTCCCTCAAACTAAGGGTTGTGGACCACTCGCTGCCTTTTCCGTCAGCCCACCACCAGACTACAGATCCACTGCCCTCACCGCCTTTTACTGCGTTCATTCAACCACCACCATGGCGGCCACTCTCCAAGGTTCCCACACACCACGACTGCCCCCAACACCACCCGATCGCCCCTCCCGTCACCACCATCATGGCTGCCTCACCACCCCCACACATACCATACCCAAGGTGGGTCACCCCTTTCACCGTGCTGCCCTCTTTGTATCACCCTCACGGTGGCCTCCCTGCCACCCCCCTCCCAAACACCACCATGGCAGCCACCCCCACTGCCCCTTACCACCTCCGCCCCTCCCTACCACCACCACGACGGTCACTTCGCTGCCTCCCCCCCAACCACGGCCACCATGATCACCTTGTTAGTCACCCTGCCACCTCTTCCATATCACTGCCACAGTGGCCACCTTGTTGACCCCCAATCCACCTGCACAGCCATCGTTGCTACCCCCTCATTACCATCACAACCAAGAACAGCCTACCTTCTACTCCCTCCCACCACCACCATGGCGGACACCATTGCTACAACCACGATCACATCATAGTGGACACCTCACCCTAAAGACCCATCCTTATCACCACTGCAGCCACCCTGCTACCCCCAGATACCACTGTCACCAATACCCGATGCCCTACCCTGTCACCCCCTCCTTGGTAGTGTGGATTCCCCACTGATCCCATCCCGTCGTACCTTCCCCTGCCTTTTGCACCACAGCCATCACAATATACCCTCCTCAACCACAGTCATGGCCTCATATCTCAAGGACAAAGGGCCACTCTAGAAAGGATCTGATGGGACACGATACAGTGGCATATACCAATTGCAATAGGACACAGCATGGTCAGAGTATCATCCAGGGAGGTCCAACCAATCCCCAAACCTTCAAAAATGTACCATTCAATTCACCAGGACAAAGAACTTTAGAGCCAGATTCCCACTATATACAATAATACTTTAAGTTCTACAAACTTGGAACACTTGAACAAACAAAAATGATTATTCCCCAGGCTGTCTCTAAGGGAAGAGATCCACACGGCTAACCTGGCCCGCTCCATCGCGCTGCTAGCCGCTCCTCAGTACAGACCGTCAGGCATCTCCGGCGACCGCTCCACTGTGCGCTTGAGTCACTGCAGCAACACCAACTAATCGCACCAGTTCCATATGCGCATGCGTAGCAAAGCTCCACTCCGGCTTTGGCTGCGCAACCGCAACAGTTTGCCGCAGTGCTGAGGTCCTGCCGCAGTGCAGGGGTGCCAGCGCCCCTGCTAACTGGAATTACCGGGGCGTGATGTCTACTGGACTCCAAATAGCCAAGGCATTAGCGCCTTAAGAGAGGGACTTCAGGGACACCACCACCACCCTGGGGTTCAATGGCAAGGTCTTTTTTTAAATGTCTGTAAAATGTTGAGGAAATAATTCAAATCTTTGCAGGCACCATGGGCCAGGCAATCCTGATTTACAATCATCTTCATGTTTTCCTACACCATGTCTGAAATGCTGATTTGGAAAAGTTAAATTGATGCAAAACCACAGTCAATGCAATATTGCTAGATGATCGAAGCTAGAAGAAAATCTCTTTTAAAAGATACTACATTATTTGAATTTGGTGTGATTTCTTTCCTTCTTTTAATGCTTTCTACAGTTTTTTTTTTCAAATTGTCAAAATTATGCCAAAACAATCAATGTAATTAAACTCTCCAGTACAGAATGGATAAGTATTTAAATTGGAAAAGTTGTCTACTCAATTTGTATAAAATGAAAAATGAATTTGGATTCCTACATAAAACAAAACCTTTACATAGGTATATTGAAATTTTTACCAATAATCAGTGATAGCTGGAGTATATTGAAATTTTTACCAATAATCAGTGATAGCTGGAGTGGGGAAAATAACACTTTCATACAATAGGAATGAGCAAGTAGATACAATGATTTTTTTTTCCAAATAATACCCTCTACAGATTTAAGAGACACTTTGGTAACTCCAAAATTGTTACATATGGGTAACATGGAAAAAGACAATGCTGAGGAGAGAAAGCTAAGGAAATAATCCTGAAGTTGTATTTGCATAGAATTTTACATAGCTTTGCTATTTTCTCAATTCTCCATGTCAAAGAACTGAGGGTGAGGGTGGTCTAATGGTGACTAAATGGCTAAAATTCCCCCCATCCCCCTAAGCTAGTGCTCTGTTCCCAATCATCTTACACTATATAAACAAGTGTGAAGAGACATGTCAATGCAGACATCTATCATAATAAAATCTTGGAAAACTAGGTAATGTGCCTCATGAAAGATATATAGGCTAAGTAAATTTTTACCTATGTATATAAACAATAATAGGCTGATCTATAGAAATATAATAGTTATATATATACTACTCATATAAAGAATGAATCATTTGAAATAATCAATATTAAACAGATTTGATCTACAAAATTGCACTAATAGTTCATTTTTACACATTCTTGTGAAGTAAAAATGAAGGAGTTCATAATATACTACCCCAAAATACGCCACTCTGTCATATTGACTATTTTTAGTTACCCCCCTAGAAATAGAAAGTCAACTCTGATCATGGGAGTGAATAGCAAAATATTATGTAAAATTAATGCAATGTGAATATTTTATGTAAATATATGTTTACATGCACATTAAAAAAATGTATGAACGGATACATACCACTTATAGTGTTGAAAACCATCCTTGGACTCAGACTCATTTGATTCAAATTCTAGTTGTGAAACTTGACAGCAATGTTACTTTAGGCAATTATCTAACTTTCTATGCCTTTTTTTCAATCTGTAAAATATGGAGGAATTGTACTTATCTTACACAATGATTTGACAGCTAAATGAGTGATTATGCATATATAGAATAGGGTTTGATTCAGACCAAAAACTCTATAAATGTGTTAGCTCTTTGAACAGCCCCAATTATTACAGTGGTAACTTCCACTGGGAAATAAAAATTGGGTATATATGTTATTGTTGTTAATTAAAATCTGTATCTTACTCATATTTCCTCAGATTTTTCTTCATGTCATTTTCTTGTTGCAAGATACCATACACATGTTCACTAGTCATGTCCCTTTAGGCTCATGTTGGCTGTAACAATTTGGGTATTTGTGTTGTTTTTTTTAATGTTTTTACCATGTTTATACTTTACACAGTGTTAATTACCTTTAGAATTAAAAAATAAATCTTAAGTTAAAACAAAATTATATTTAATTCTCAACTCTAACATACTTGATTGTCTAGTTTATTGACCCATCTTCCAAATCCTTTTCCAGCCTGCTTTTTTTTGACAACTCTGACCACACTCCTGATAATTTTCTGGCTGCTCTACCACCATAAGAAGCTGGCTTTAGATGCCAAAGAAGACACGATAAGCTCCCTGAGCCTTACACACAATCCAAAGAGAGCTGCCATATTGGATCACTCATATACTTAAAGAATATAATTTATATCAGTTTACAAGCCTGATTGAGAATGCCCTGCAAATGGGAAGAAATATACAAAAAAAAAAAAGGGGGGGACTTTACCAATATGCTTTGTTGTAAGGACTGTGTTGCTAGACAGATATGTCTTCCAACAATTCCATTTTTTCCAAAGTCTAGACCTATCCCCAAGTCATACACTCAAAGGTATAAACTTAAGGGACAACAAATCTGGAGTAAAACTATTCTCAAAATTAAAACAAAATAAAAAGAACTTTTCTCTATACAGCTGAAGCTACAGAATCTGAAAACTGATCAGAACTCCTACATCATATATAAAAATTACATCAAAATGGATTAAAGACTTAATGTAAGAGTTTAAAATATAAAACTCTTAGATGAAAACATGGGTGTAAATCTGTGTGATGTTGACTTAAGTAAGCAACGTTTTCTTAGATAGGATACCTAATGCACAAGCAGCCAAAAAAATAAAGTGGACTTTATCACAGTTACATAAAAGTTTTTGCTTCAAAGGACACTATTAAGAAAATAAAATGACAACCAGCAGAATGGTGGAAAATATTTGCAAATATCATATTAAAGGAAGTCTCACAACTCAACAATAAAAAGATAAATTAAAATGCAAAAGATTTGAATTCACCCCAAAAAACGATAAACAAATGGCTAATCAGCACATGAAAAGATGTTCAACATCATTAGTCATTAGGGAAATGCAAAAGATTAGCTCAATGAGGTGCCACTTCACACTCAGTGGGAGGGCTATCATCAAAAAGACAATAACAAGTGTTATGGAGGATGTGGACAAATTGGAACCTTCATACTTTGCTGATAGGAATGTAAATTAGTGCAGCCACTGTAGAAAAAAGTTTGGTAATACCTAAAATTTAACCACAAAGTTATCCTGTGACCCACAACTCTACTTTTAATATAAAACCCAAAAGAAATGAAAACACACATCTATGCAAAAATTTGTACAGGAATTTTCATAGCAGTCATTATAACAGAGAGAGGAAATAACTCAGATGTCTATCAACTGATAAGTGGATAAACAAAATATGTGGTATGGCATATCTATACTATATCATTTAGCCATAAAAAGGAATGAAGTATTGATTCATGCTGTAAAATGGATGAACCCTGAAAAATGTTATGCTAAGTGAAAAAATCCAAACACAAAAGGCCACATTTTGTATGAGTGACTTATATGAAATATTCAAAATAGTCAAATCCTAGAGACAGAAAGCCAAGCAGTGATGGTCAGAGAATGGGGGAAGGATGAGTACGGAGTGATTGCTAGTGGTTATCGGGTTTCTTTACAGGATGATAAAATGTTCTGGAATTAAATTGTAGGGATGTTTGTAAAACATTGTGAATATACTAAAAATCTCTGAATTGTACAATTTTAAAAAGGAGGATATTATGGTGTGTACATTATATATATTTTTTTAATTCCATTTGAGGGAAATTATACAAAATACCTGAATAGTAATCCAAAAACTGTCAAAAACAAAGAAAGTCTGAGAAGCTTTTTGGGTTTTGTTACAACCAAGAAGAGTCTTGAGAGAGGAGTATTAAATGTAATATCCTGGATGAGATCTGGGAACAGAGAAAGGACATTATGAAGAGACTGAAAACATCTGAATAAAGTATGAACTTCAGTGTTGGTTCATTAACTGCAACCAATGCACCATACTAATGTAAGATGTTGATAACAGAGGAATATATGTGTGAGATATAGAATAACCGCACTATCTTTGAAAGAATTATGTAAATATAAAGCTGTTCTGAAACAAAAAGTTAATTAAGAGAATAAACTGATCAGAAATTATATACAAAAGTGTCCTAACATAGTCACCTACAAAGGAGAAAGTTGGTGGACAGGATAGAAAGATGTACCACTGAAGCATCTCTGTAAGCCTATTTTTTTAGTTGTCATTTGAATTTATGAACTGTACCATATAAAAAGCAAACAATCAAATGATACAGAAAAAGTTGTTTAAGGACCCTTGTCTGGTAAAAGTATATAATAAAGAAGGTTAAAAGAGACAGGAGAATCCATTTGCAGTATACTTAATATATACTATATCAAGAACTCATAGAAATCAATAAGGAAAAGAGAATTTCAAAGAAAAAAGTGCAAGGATGTTCAGTCATTATGAAGTACTTGCTCTTTGTGATCTCTCTATCTAGGTGGTCCTTCTCACCTTCTGCTTTTGCCACAGTCAAACCTACACAGCGCACAGACTCCCTACTCTGGCCCTTCTAATTCCTCTGAGAGGTGAAGAACAAAGAATACCAGGCTCCCTCCCTAGCAGTGGAGCCCACCCCCCAGCCACTACAAAACCCAAGCATACCATCAGGAGGAGTAGGAGGCAAGCAGGTAAATAGAAGAGATCGAGAAGAGGCAGCCAGCCAAAAGAAAATGGTTAGATTCTAACCATGAGGTCTTCCAATCTACACACATTCTGGTCCTTAGAAAATCTGCTGCTTGGGCAAGGGCTGCATAAATCCCAACAGCATTATTTTGAATTGTCTTGCTTTTTGAAATAATCCAAATAGACAGTGATAAGTTCAAATATACAAACTTAACATTTTCTGAAGTAACTCAGTCAATGTTAGGGGAAAAGCTTGAGGACAGGAAGAAGCAAAGAAAAAGTTTGTTTTGAAAGTGGATTTCCGTTTTGAGTTTGTTATATTGTGAAATTATTATATGCTGAAATGTATATAATTAATACATTAATAAATTTTCATTGAAAAGTAAGTGATAGATTGTGATGATCTTGACTCATATAAATTGTTTTGTATTTCCTGAATGTGAGGGAAGTATAAAAATCCTGCCCTGGTTTGAAAATAAGATGTCCTGCTTCTTGGATAAAATCCCCTGTTTTAATCTTGCAGAGTAGTTTATATGTTGCTCTGAGAGTGAAACATTTTCTAATAAAATATCTATACTTATGTCTTCTGATCTTTATTATTAAAGATATGTTGACTGGGACATACACACATTGATCATTCATGTACACACATTTATTGAGTATCTGCTGTGTGAATGCCCTGGACATCCAGAAACAAATAAATAGTCCCTGCCTTTGAAGGAGCTTGCAGATAATTCAAACAAAAATAACATAACTCCTTCCAAAAAGCATAATTTTTTAGAGATTTAAGTGGTTCTTAATACATAACTTTTAATTTTTCAGTATAAGTTCATAATTTTCAATGTAGTTTTAAGCACTATAGTTAATATCATTTATTAAATGATATATGGTTATGTTTGAGGAAGGGAAAAGGCAAATGAATAATAGGCTTGAGTTTCTTATTTTAATACAATATATTTTCTTTTTTTGGTAAAAAAATCCTTTAAAATAAAATAAATACAATTATATATATAACAGAACAAGGTATAAAATTTTTAAATATAAAATAAGATAATATGAAATTTTGTTTGTGGGACCACTAGACAATCTCCAGTCTATCTTTTCTACCATTAGGAGGACTTTTGTGAAAGAGCCTTTAAAATACGACATTAGGGGGCGCCTGGGTGGCTGAGTTGGTTAAGCAACTGCCTTCGGCTCAGGTCATGATCCTGGAGTCCCTGGATTGAGTCCCGCATTGGGCTCCCTGCTTGGCAGGGAGTCTGCTTCTCCCGCTGATCCTCCCCCCTCTCATGTGCTTTCTCTCCATCTCTCATTCTCACTCTCTCAAATAAATAAATTAATTAAATCTTTAAAAAAAATACATTAGTCTTTTTTATTTAAAAACATTTTGGCTAGTATGAAAATGAAAGTCATCCCCTAAAACAACTTTTTTAAAATTTTTATTCCAACGTATCAGAACTAAAACAAATACAAAAGTTAAAATTATAAAATAAGATACAATTTGAGACACAGGTAAAATGATTTCGTATCTTAAATATTTGCGGAATGTGGACAGTATTTGAAATGATACTGCAGACAGGCTAAAGTCTTTTTTTTTTTTTGACAAAATTTAAAATTCAGAAGCAGAAATTCAAGGGAATAAAGACTGCATGGTTTGAAGTCTGCACTCTATGTAAACAACCATTTTTCCTTATTGATTTATTTATTTTACAGACACATATTCTGCTTACTGTGTATCAGGTGATTTTCCAGATACTTTATCATTAATCCAAATGACAACCGTATGAGTTGCTTTCTATTTCCATCCCTCTTACGTATTAGGAAACAGGCCCAGAAAGGTCCAGAACCACACGCGAAGTCACACAGTCGACAAGCTGTTTAACCCATATTCAAGCCCAGCACTCTGGTTACTTTGTCCCTGCTCTTAGCCACTACCCTACACTGGAGTGACTCTTAGCGGCAATGACTCTCATTATAATTCCTCTTCCACAAACCTAAAGCCCAAGCGGATAGCTGGGTCAAAAGACAAAACAGAACACGCACTTTGAGCACAGAAGCCCAAGAGAGTGCCTACAGGCACTTTGCTCAAGGCACTGGGCGGCAGCGTTTCCCTACAGGCACAACCCATTCACAGGAAAACTAGGAGAGATTTTTGCTATAGGCTCCCTTCCCCCAGTCTGGGGAACAGCATTCTTGAAAATCCCAAGACCAGCTCCAGAAGAGGCTGAGCCGGGGAAGGAAGTGCCCCTCCTCTTGAGAATACTCCTGCAGGTCACAAGTAACAAAAAAGACACTCTTCTACCCATGGCTTTTGCACACATTCTCACTGTATCCAGGCTTCAGACAAGAACACCCCAGATGGTCAGCAAATGACACCAAATCTCACCTACTGCCTCTCCATTTTTTAAGTAGTTGGGAGGGAATCAACAGAAAGGGAATTTTGGGACACATGAAAATTACACAAAGTTCAAATTTCAGTTGATTTAACTCAACTCTGATACTGTCCCACCTGGAAATAGTGTCAGATCCTACAGTTAAGCCTCAGTCCCAGAAGATTGCTCCCACCCACTTCAGAGGCCAATTGTAAGTAGCAGGTCCAGAGGTTCCCCACAACGTCTGTGTGGTGTGGCTACAAATCAGAGGTTTCTGTGATCTCCTGTGCCTTTTGGTTTAATTAATGTGCTAGAGTGGCTCACAAAACTCAGTGGAACATTTACAGTTGACCCTTGAACAACACAAATTTGAACTGCATGTGTCCACTTTATAGGTCAATTTTTTTCAATAAATAAATTGGAAAGATTTTCAGAGATTTGTGACAATTTGAAAAAAACTTGCAGGTGAACCATGTAGCCTAGAAATACTGAAAAAATTAAGAAACAAACTGAGGGTTACAGAAGGGGAGGGGGGTGGGGGGCTGGGGTAACCGGGCAATGGGTATCAAGGAGGGCACATGTGTGTTGAACACTGGGTGTTATACACAACTAATGAATCTCTGAACACTACATCAAAAACCAATGATGTACTATATGTTGGCTAATTGAACATAATAATAAAAAAATAATAATAAATAAATAATAAATACATACCAATGCTTTCTAATCCAAAAAAAAAGAAAAATTATTGTTGTAAGAATATAGTATATAATATGTGTAACATACAAAATAGGTGTTAATCCACTATTTGTTATCAGTAAGGCTTCTGGTCAATAGTAGGCTATCAGTAGTTAATTTGCAGGGGGAGGAGTCAAAACTTATACATAGATTTTCAACTGTGTGGGAATCGACACCCCTAGTCCCCACATTGTTCAAAGGTCAACTGTACTTACATTGACCAGTTTAATTAAGGATATGATAAAAGGATACAGATGAACAATCATATGAGGAGATACACAGGCTGAAGTCTGAAAGGTTCCTAAGAGCAGGAGCATTTGTCCCATGGAGTTGGGGTGCCATGCATTGAGGATTTTTGTAGAGACTTCATTAGGGAGGCAGGATCAATCATTAGCTCCATTTCTAGCCCTTCTCCCCTCTCTACAGAAGTGAGGGGTGGGGCTGAAAAATTCTAAGGTTCTAATCATGACTTCTTCTTTCTGGTGGTCAGCTCCCATCCAGGAGCCATCCAGGAACCCACCCAGAGTTGCCTCCTCAGAACAAAATATGCTCCTAGGGTTCTTACCACTAAGGAATTTACAAGGGTTTCAGGAGCTCTGTGTCAGGGATGGGGTCAAAGACCAAATATTAAAACAAAAGTTGCTCTCAGTGTTCTTATCAATCAAAAAATCACAAGGGTTTTAGGAACTCTGTGTCAGAACTGTGAGTGTGTATGTGTGTGTGTGTATATATATTTTTCTTTTATTAAAATATAGCTGATATATATTTTTTCTATTATCTCACACAGCCAAGCCCATTTGTTTTTATATTTATCTATGGCTACAACTTCACAGTTGAATAGTTACAACTGATGTGGTTTAGACCACACTACCCCAGAATATGGCACCTTGGCATATTGAATAATTTAAGCTAATGGAGTTTGAGAAAATTGCAGAAGAATAAAAGTTCACTTTGGTGGCACCTGGGTGGCTCAGTGGTTAAACGCCCCTCTTGATTTCAGCTCAGGTCATGATCTCAGAGTTGTGAGATATAGTCCTGCATTGAGCTCTTTCTCAAACTAATAAATAAAATGAAATTGGCTGATTATAGGTTCCTTATGATCATATGATAGAGGAAGAGAAAACTCAGGCCTGCAGGATATGCAGACACCACTCAAAAGTACACAGCTGCAGCACTACGTCCCTTTTCTGGGATAGTCCTGAAGTAACACAAGAAAGTGGTAAAGGGAAGTCCTTCCAGTGGGCAGAACTTCCAGCAGTGCACCTAGTTGTTTACTTTGCTTAAGAGAAATGGCCAGACATGCGATTATATGTTGATTGCAGTGCTACAGCCAATGGCTTGGCTGAATGGCCAGGGATTTGGAAAGAACATGATTGGGCAATTGGCAATAAGGAGGTCCGGGCAAGAGGTATACAGATAGACTATTCTGAATGGGCAAATAATTGAAGATATTTGAGTCCTGTGTGAATGTTTACCAAAGGGTGAACTCAGAAGAGAAGGATTTTAATAATCAAGTGAACAGTATGACCTATTCTGTGGACACCAGTCAGCCCATTTCCCCAGCTACCCATCATCACTCAACAGACCCATGAACAGAGAGATAATGGTGGCAAGGACAGAGGTTATGCATGGGCTCGGCAACATGGACTTCCACTCACCATGGCTAACCTGGATGAAGCCACTGCTGAGAACCCAATCTGGCAGCAGCAGATATCAACACTGAGTCTCTGATATGGCACCATTCCCTGGGGTGGTCAGCTAGGTGCTTGGTGGGAGGCTGATTACATTGGACCCCTTCCATCATAGAAAAGGCAACACTTCACTCTTACTGAAATAAACACTTACTCTGGATATGGATCTGCCTTCCCTGTGTGCAGTGTTTCTGCCCAAACTGTCAAGCCACCATCTATGGACTTGTAGAATATCATATCCACTGACATGCGTTGCTTCTGATCAAGGAACTCACTTCATAGTGATGGGGTTCAGGACCTGCTACCCCCAAGTATGTCACCTTAGCATACTGAATATTTGAAAATGAAGGAGTTTGAGAAAAAACAGAATCAGGAAGTTCACTCATACTCTACCCCCCACCTCACCCTTCTTCCCTAAAACAGTCCATAAAACCCACATGTGAAAGTATCCAGTATCCATAAAAAATAAACATCCTTATCTCAGAACACAAAGGGATACTGAGAAAAAGCTGAACAAACAAGACCTTTTATGTTTCCCCATGTTTACTACAATTACCTCATATTCCTTAATGTATTCTTCCATGACTGCCCACTTTTCAACAAATCTATCATCAATATACTCAGGTCTGTTTCTTTGGGTCTTCATTTCTTTATTAAGGCTCCCATGTTACATACAATTTATATTCAATAAATTTGCATGATTTTCCCATTAATCTACTTTAGAATATTCAGATCCAGGGACATCTGGGTGGCTCAGTCTGCTTTCAGCTCGGGTCATGATCCCAGGGTCCTGAGATTGAGCCTCACATTGGGCTCCCTGCTGCTCCACCCACCCTTGCTTGTGCTTGCTCACTCTTTCTCTCTCTCAAATAATAAATAAATAAATAAATAAATAAATAAATAAATAAATAAAATCTTTTTTTAAAGATTTTATTTATTTGACAGAGAGAGACACAGCGAGAGAGGGAACACAAGCAGGGGGAGTGGGAGGGGAAGAAGCAGGCTTCCTACGGAGCAGGGAGCCCGATGTGGGGTTCGATCCCAGGACCCTGGGATCATGACCTGAGCCGAAGGCAGATGCTTAACGACTGAGCCACCCAGGTGCCCCAAATAAATAAAATCTTTAAAAAATATTCAGATCCAGCCAAAGACCATAGAAGGGTAAAGAAAACTTTTCCCTCCCCAACAACAGAAAATGAAGTACAGCAATGGTTGGAACTCACTCATCTTACCATGTTTCCTGCCATCCTAAAGCTGCTGGCTTGATCGAATGGTATAATGGCCTTTGAAATACTCAGAAGCGGTGCCAGCTAGTGGCGATATCTTGCAGGGCTCAGCATGGATTTTCCAGGTGGATGTATATACCATGAATCTACATTCAATATGGTACAGTTTCTCAGACAGTCAAGATTCATGGGTCCAGTAATTAAAGGGTAGAAATGGGAGCAGCACCATTCCTTATTAATCCTAGTGACCTACTAGCAAAGTTTTACTTCCTGTCCCTATGACCTATGCTTTTCTGGCCTAGAGATTTTTGTTCCAAAGGGAAGGATACTGTGGTCTCTGGGTGGCTTAGTTGGTTAAGCATCTGCCTTCAGCTCAGGTCATGATCCTAGGGTCCTGGGATCGAGTCCTGCATCAGTGAGGAGCCTGCTTCTCCATCTCCCTCTGCTTCTCCCCCAACTTGTGTTCTCCCTTGCTCACTCTCAAATAAATAAATAAAATCTTAAAAAAAAGAAGAAGAAGGAAGACAGATACTTTAAAAAGAAGACAAAGAGTGATTCTACTGAACTGGAAGTTAAGACTGCTATCCAGCCACTTTGGGATCCTTATGTCTCCAAAACAACAAATAAAGGAGCCACTGTGTTGGCCTAGGTGACTGCTCCTAATTACCATTGGAAAATTGGACTACTAACCACAAGAGAATTAAGGAAGAGGATGTTTGGACTATAGAATATCCCTTAGGACATCACTTAGTATTACTATATCCTATAATTAAAGCCAATAAAAACCTACAACAACAAGGAAAGACTACTCATGTTCCAGACTCTTTAGAAATGAAGGTTTGGTTACACCACCAGGTAAAGAACCACAACCAGCTGAGGTGCTTGCTGAAGGCAAAGGGGATACAGAATGGGTAGTAGAAGACGGTAGTTATAAATAACAGCTGAAACCAAAGGAAGGAGGACTGTAAGAGTAATATGTATTTCTCTTCATTTTGTTATATGTTTGGGTAGTTGTGTAGGTTTATGTTTTATTTAGGTATCATTAACTTTACATCATAGTATTTCAGTTACAGGATAGCAAGGAAAAAAGTTAAGATCCCCCAAAGACTTTGTATCCTTTTCTGGGGAAAGAGTTAGTGAGTTTTTACTTTTACTCAAAATAGTTGTATCATGTTAGGCAAAAGTAGGACATTGTTAATATCTTTATGTGGAAATTAAGTATGTTTGTTTTTTGGGGGGAGGGAGGGGCAGAGGGAGAGAGAGACTCTTTTTCTCTTAAGATTATTTACTTGATTTTTTAAAAAGATTTTATTTACTTATTTGAGAGAGAGAGAGAGAGAACACAAACAGGGTGGAGGGGCAGAGGGAGAGAGAGAAGCAGACTCCCCACTGCCCACTGAGCAGGGAGTCTGATGCAGGACTTGATCCCAGGACCCTGAGATCATGACCTGAGCCGAAGGCACCCCAAGAGTATTTGAGAGAGTGAGAACATGAGTCAGGGGGATGGGTAGAGGGAGAGGGAAAAGCAGAATCCCTGCTGAGCAGGGAGCCCCCCGATGGGGGACTCAATCCCAGGACCGGGAGATCATGACCTGAGCCAAAAACAGACACTTAACTGACTGAGCCACCCAGGCACCCCTGGAGATTAGTACGGTTTAAGGAAAATATATATGAGTGCCAAGTTGACAAGAGATGAATTTATGATGGTAATTTTATATGTCAACTTGCCTGGGCCACAGCACCCATATATTTGGTCAAACATCAGCCTGGATACAATTGCAAAGGTGTTTTTTTAGAGGAGATCAACATCTAAATACACCTTTAGTAAAGTGGATTAACCCCCTTAATGTGGGTGGGTCTTATCCAATTAGTTGAAGGTCTTGAGAGAGAACAGACTGAGGTTTCCTAAGAGGAAATTTTGTCTCCAGCCTGGTTTTGGATTTATGTATGCAAATCTTCTGTGTCTCCAGTCTACCACGCCACCCTTGCAGATTTTGGACTTGTCAGCCTCCATAATTACATGAGTCAATTTCTAAAAGTAAATCTCTCTGTCCTTAATAAACTGGC